AAAGGAAAATGAATCCAAAGGATTTCATCAAGGTGTGTTAGTAAACAAAATAGACCAAGATGCTTCCAAGGAACTGGTTCCTCAGTACAACAATCTATGACAATTCAAGAGTCTATGAAAAGGGCCTTCGATGAAACTCTTGAGAAACAGAAAGGGTCATCTGTGAAGTACAGTAGCAAGTCTAAACGGAGTCTAACTGAGCTAGTCGTGTCTAAGGACAATACTGTGGGGATGGCAAGCTGGAAAGGAAAGTCTGCCGAAGGGTCTACCAAACAAAAAGAGCAAACTGTTAAGGAACCTGGTACAATAAAGTCTATGACCCGTGATGGTGGTCTTTGGCAATAGAGATTAAGAACTCAGAAAGTGTTGTGGGGTCGTACATTTGATCCAGCAATTTCGGAGATGACATGCATGAGACAAATTTTGGAGATTGTGGAATTTCAACAATGGGAACACTTGTTTGAAGATCCTTCTTGAGCTGAGGGTCTCCCGGAAACAGCCTCTCTGCCCCTTGGGGTAGGGGTAAGGTCTGGGTACATATTACCCTCTCCACACCCCACTTGTGGGAATACACTGGGTTGTTGTTGTTGTTGAACACTTGTTTGAAGAGAGAATGCCTCTGGTGTACGAAGATGCAGTACAAACTTTTTATGCATCTCTTTTCACTGTGGAGGGGGATCACATTTGTGCGCTTGTAAATGGAGTAGACATTGTACTCAATGCTTCGATGTTGGGAAAAATTCTCAAAATTCCATGTGAAGGTATGTCCTCAGTTAAGGGTGTCTGTGGAGTAAACTTTCGGAGAGCCATCATGAAAGAACAAGGTATTCAACAGGGGAAACGGTGCATAAGAAGGTTTTGCTTCCTGAGTACCAGTTTCTCCTTGAACTGGTCAATAAAGTGCTCTTACCCTGCTCTGAGAGGCGCTCTATTGCTACAAGATCGGACATGGTCCTGATGGAAGCGCTCGATGAGTTTGTTCCAATCAATCTGCCTGCAATCATGATAGACCATATGCAGAAGGTGGCAAATTTCAAGGGTGGAAATCATGGGTTACCTTATGGCTTTCTCCTCACTCAGGTGTTCAGATTCTATAAGGTCCCCTTGGGGAATCCCAGAGTGGGCACACGCAAGCAGACCTTCTCTAAGACCACTCTAGAAGAATATGAATGTATTGAAAAGGTTGGTGGAAGCATCTCAACCATCTCTCAACTAATCAACGCTCAAAATGTAGCCTCTGAGGAAATAAGAAGGCTGAGGGCTCAAAATGCCATATTGGAAACTCAGCTCAGTCAAGCAGTTAAAGGAACTAATTCTGTACATGAGGATATTACACGACTGACAAAGGAAAATGAGAGACTTCGGGCTCAATTACTTGAAGAACAATTGTCCCCAAATGCTAGACTGGACCTGGTTCTCAAAACCATGGTTGTCTCTTCTTCCAAGCCTCCTTCCTTTAGTATCCCCTAGGATCCTCCTTGTGTCAAGCTATTTTTGTTCCAACCTCCTGTGGCTGCTGTTTTACTTTTGTTTGCATGTTTTTGTTGTGATGGCATGTTGTACTTAACCATTACTGCTTCTGAATTACTCAGTCCAATGTAAACATTAATGAAACAGCTTCCTTTTTGTTGCTTGTACAATCCTATGGTCCTTTGGCTTCTCTTTTTTGTCATGTTTTGTGCACACATGTGGCATGAGCTAGCTGTGTTAGACTTCTTTATGCTTCTTACCTGCTGGTGCTATTTTTAATTCCTCTCCTTTTTAATGATGCCAAAAGGGGGAAAAAGTGTGAGAGAAGTGTGACGTGTGAGAATGAGGGAGATCTTAGATTAAGGGGGAACTACTGGCATCTCATCTGGTTATTATTGCTCTAAACAAATACTGCCATGTCTAAGTTTGTCATCATCAAAAAGGAGGAAATTTATGGGTTTTTAGTATTTTATGTTTTGATGATCTAACAAACTTGTCATGAAGAACCAGATAGAGCACCTGGCGCACAGGACATACATTTCATGTGAACTAATCGAAGCTTGAAAATCAACAAAGGGAGGAACTCAACAGGGACTTGATGATCTAGCCCTTTAAGGTTCTCCGACACAAGCAAGTCAATGACTGTACGCAATCAAGATAAAGAGGAACACAATAGGGACCTGTTGTCTTAGGGTTCTCTGACAAAAAGTACAAGTCAAGTGCACAGCTGGAACGTGACAGAAGAAAGTGACCATCTGGCAACTGTTACAGAAGAGGAACACAACTAGGACCCGGTCTGTTGGTGTGTCCTGACAGGAAGTACAAAGCCCACTATCCAGCTGGAATGCAACTGCCTAGAAGTGGCTGTGCAGATTGTACAACAGTCACTTCTCATTGGGAAGAAGTATACACCTTGAGTTGACATCACTATCTATTGTGCCATCTTTTGTGATAAAACAACCTGGTGCAAGATATACTATTCTTTGTGCATTAAGTGATATTCTCTCAAGCATAACAAAGTTCATCTAGCATTGAAATCACTGGTGTGTCAAGAACAAGAAGACAACTCCACTAAGGACCAGCTTCTAACCGAGTCTTATTTACGTCCATGGTTGAGTTGTAATCTTGTTAATTGTTCTATATTGTAATTCCTAGTTTGCTTTCTTAGAAGCGTTGTCTTAGGAACAAACCAAATTCGTAAACTTTAGAGTTTACATTGTGACTAGGAATAGTCATAAGTTAAATCCTCTGTAACTAGGAGAGTTATAGAGTGGCTTGTGGTGGTGCATCACAAGTTAGTTTGAAGTCTTTGCAAAAGGGTGTTTGCAAAGTGGCTTGTAATAGGTAGATTACAAGTTAGTTGAGTTTAAAGCCTACAGGTGTAGGTCGTGGTTTTTTCGATCCCCTTGTGTGGGATTTTTTCACGTAAAAATCTCTGGCCTTCTTTACATTTAGTCGTTACTGCATTCTACGTATTAGTCTCATAGAGGACCAGGTACTCTATAGTTTGGTGGACTCACATAAGTCAACACCCGTGAAGTCCAAGACCATCATCGCCATATGTACTGGTGCTTTTTGTGAGTTTGACATTATTCAACCTGAGAACAAAAATTCTTGACAAGAACAAGTGTGAAAATAACATGTATTATCAGAATCAGTACTGAAACAATCACTATTATCCTTAGCCCCACGGTGTACGCCAAACCGTTCACCCTAAAATCCGAGTAACAATTAAACTTCTATTGCGGTTTTAAAGATACGTGATTTAATCCAATACCAATTGATCAACACGGAATCTAATGTATAAATTAAAGAGTAAAGTAAGTCAAACCAACGTATAAGCAGACCTCGACCTCGAACGATTGCGACCTCGAGGTAGGTGGATAAGAACAATAAAATAATAAGGCAAGTCAGATGAACAGTAAGCAAGACATTGAAATATGTATATTCTCTTCTCAATGATTGATGCATTACAAATGATTGGGGTCCCCTTTGTATAGTAGAGGAATCCTAAATAAGGTACAGAATTGTAGTAAGGAATCTTATTATACAGATGTCTAACCACCTAGTACAAATCCGTTCCGGAATTTACGCCTTGATCTTAGAGCCACTGCGGGAATCTCGCTCTTTCCGTTATGAAACCATAACGGTATTATCTTGAGGTCGGTCGCATGTGGCCTCGATTTTCATCGAGCACTCTGATCTTCGAATCTTGTACTTCGCCATCGGGCTCGCGCCGGGTCCATTTCGAACTTGTTCTCGAAGTGACCCTCGAACCCACGGCAGGGGCGGATTTACATGGACCCAAGCGGTGTCACAGGACACCGCTTCGTCGAAAAAAAATAATAAGTAAAACGAAAATATAAGATAAAACCATTAAAAGTGACACCATTTGTAACAAAATAGTTCAGTAGTCTAGCGGCCGTGTACAATGTTGTTGCTTCGGTTATTGTTGTTAGAAGTAAAGAAAGAAAAACAAAGAGCAATCAGCATTAACGTTTTTCTTGATTACTTTTGAATTTTTTTTAGCTTTGAGCATGACAAACGTTTGCGAATAGCGAGGATATTCACTAATCAGAAGTTGTCATGCTGGATTAACGAACTGTCATCCTTATGGTAAAATAATAAATATCATTTGTCTGAAAATAAGGATTAAAATAGGCGATCATCTTAGAAAATAAGGATTAATAAAGAGATTGAATGACAAAAAAATAAAAGTTAACGTGCACATCAAAGAATAGTGCGATGGTTAAAATGGGAAGAACTCTAGATTGCATGCTAGTGCTAGAATACTAATCACTGACTCACAAAGTGTTGACATAAATAATTTATATTAGTGAATAGAAATTAAGCATTTTACTAGAATCTCTTTGACCATGGCTAACGTTTGACGGAGTACTAAAACATTATCCTTTGTTTGTGCGATTGTTGCTTGAAGAATCACCATTTTCTTCTCATTTGCTGCTTTCAAGTCTTGGTCAGTACGTGACAGAAATCCAAATCGGGATTTAGAACCGATCGAGTAGGTTCATCTTCAACCACCATTTGGATCGGAGCAAGGACTGAATATTTATTTCTCTTAATTAACAGCCTTCAAAACAAGAGAATTAATGACGTTTCACGTTTAAATAACAATTAATTTATAAACAAATTCCGATTAGTCACACCTTTTTTCTTGTACTTTTTTTGTTTTTTGTTTTTTTGGTATAAGATTGTATAACATGAAAGTCAACTCTCTGAATATATGACCTCAAAAGTCATAGATCTTATCCTTTTTGATCGATAAAATAAAAGAGAAGTATATATATATATATATATATATATATATATATATTATATTCGATCTCAAGGATAAGACACAGAGGTGGATGTAGATATGATATATAATAACCCTCGAGTTAACAGGTGGCACTAAGACGTATGTTTAGAGAAGCTGTAAGAGGTTACTTTCTGCGTCAGCTGCTTTGCATGTCCGCAACGTGTAATTTCCCATGCAAATTTCGAAACTTAAAACACTTTCCCTTTGCTTTGACGATAAGACTTTAGCTTCGGATAACTAACCTTATATCCGCATAACTCTCCACTGATCTCCTCTACACCTTGTTTTCTCAATTGTTTCTTCTATTCTCAAGCAGAAAATCTGGTAGTTTTATATTCCACTTAAAAAAAGAATAATATCAAGTGATATCTGATCAGAAACAATGGCGTTACTTAGGGTTCCTCCTGCTGTTTTTTTGTTTGTGCTTGCACCTCTTCTTATCTGGGCTCCCGTGAACTGCGACGGTGCACACGCTCTCCCTCTCTCTTTCTGACGCTCTCAATTCCTTGTATTTAGCTTTGTAGTTAATTTATGTGCACTAACAGTGTAATGAAATTTTACTTGTTTTATTTTATTTATTACTCTACTACTTTCACTTATTATGAAATTACTTTGAATACGATGTGATATATAGCTAGTGTTTGACATGATATATACCAATGTATCAAAATTATGTGACACACGTAATTGTGGGTTCAATTGAAATGATCATAGTTTTCGCTCATACCCTATATTTTTGTCAAAAAAAAAAAATTATTAAATATGAAATAATAAATTTTGGACCAATCAAATTAGATGAGATGTGGTAGAATTGTGACTATGTACCCATAAAATTTAAAATCTAGATCCGCCTTTGAACCCATGAAGTTTAATAAGTTTAACATTATGGATCTGCTGATCACTTGAAATCCTTATTCGTCTTCGTTTAGAGATATAATTTATTTGTTTTCAATTTGTGTTGATACGCAGATGAGGAAGACCATGTCCTTTCGGGGATCAACAGTTACCGACAATCCCACAGCTTACCAGCGCTAACTAAGCACGACAAAGCCGATTGCCTAGCCGACGAAATAGCGGACGAGATGCAAAATCAACCATGCCCCAGGGGTGGCATTACCCCAGGTCCCGCACCTGAATTCGCACAATACCCTAAACTCTTGGACAAGTGCGACATAAACATAAACACGACAGCAGACGGCGTTATCCTCCCGGTTTGCGTCCACGATCGTGTCGCGACCCTCGTGCTGACCAACTATACTCAATCCCAGCATGCGAGGTTCCTCAACAATTCTAAGTACAGTGGAGCTGGAATTGGCACTGAGGATTATTGGACTGTCCTAGTCTTGACCACGAATACTGCCGGAGGAAGCTTTGCTAGTGGAGCTACTAGTTTGATTAGTCATGTGATTGGTTGGAGTCGTTGTAATTTGCTGTTTTCGTTGTTAGGTATGTTCCTAGTTAATGTTTATTAGTGTGACTGGTAATTAAGTGGTCTCTTATATCTGTATTCGTTGCATCTTCCGTATGTGTATGTATTGTTACGTTTGTGTAGATCAAGCTTCATGTGCTTTTTATATGTGGTAATTAAGTAATTTCTAGACTGAATTGCAATGCTAATTACCTGAAATACTGAATGGTTCCACGAAGGATAGTTATGAAATTGATCGTTCTTGTCCAACAATTCCTTTTATGTATCCTTTTGTAAGGTATCGTATTGTCCTTTATATTGAATAAACTTGTAATATTATAAAGAAAATGTAAGGTACGAGGTAGAATTATTATATAAAAAGGTAGGATAAACGATAAAAAGGGTTATTTAATAATAAGGAAAGTCAAGAGGAGAGAAAAAAATATAAGGTAGCGATGCAATTATACAAATTGGTTGTTATATAAAGTGTAATTTTTGTCGTTACTTAATAACATATTTAAGGATACAATAAAGGTTGAGTAACAAACGAAATAAACATAATATTTATACGATAAATTTAATGATATAATATAATAAAATTTAAATTTGAATAAATTAAAATATATTTTATATTTAAAGTAGTAATACGATACGATACAATAATAACTTTTCAAACAAGTTGTTGTTTGACAAGGGGGCGGTTCAAGGGGAAGCATGTTATTTATCTGTATTGCTGTAAGTAAATAAAACAGTAATTTTTCTGAAAAATAAAATAGAAAGTTAGTAGAAACAATTCTGAAAAATAATATTCGAGCTTCAAAATAATTTTTGAAACGTTGAAGGAATAAATCGAGCCCACTGAATACACAGTGTGTGCTTAAGGAAATTATTCTCCTCAAGTACTCGAGGTTATGGAATATATCCTATGAGGATAGAACGATTTAACTCACCGAAGTATTGGTACAAAAAACGCCGATGATCAGCGAATTACTCGATGGCAGCAAAATACACTGGAATTTTAGTGCATAAGAAGAAGAAGAAGGATAATCAGAAAATTTCGTAAGTAAATGTTCTGGAATTTGAAGGTCTATTTATAACCAACTAGGTGATGTTTCTGAAGAGGTTTGCAACCTTTCAGAATAATCATGACTGTTGGAATAGGTGTGACCCTCTGGAGAGGTTTGCAACCTTTCAGAATAGTCATGGTTGTTGGAACATTTTTGCGGGACATTTAAAACGAATTTAAATTAATCTGGAAAAGAAAAACGGGCTAGACCGGACCGGGTCGCGGGTCATCCCTTCATTTTTTTTTCCATCATTTTTCATTCACACCTCTTTTGTTATTATTTATTAAATAACAAACGCAATAATCCCCCACATGAATGGGGAATGGCTATAAACTTAAAGGAATGCACGGACGTGTGTGTGTTTTACAAACAAGAATTGATTGCATCTGGATAAGTTGGTTTCCCTTTGAACTTTCCGTAGTGAACTTATATCGGATATACTCGGTCAATCGATAGATTTGATATCTTTGAACCGCCGAACTTTGTTGTATACCTAGACAACATAAGTCACACAATCAATCCTTAACCATCTATGGTCCTTACGGTTGTGTTCGTTTCAGCTATGAACACCGCCTGGTTTCATGAGTGCTTAGAGAATGGGCCTTTACTTTCATTCTCCTTGGAGCGGTTTACACTTCACACTCACATAGGTGATTCTTAAACGTGTAATCCTAAAGACACACTATCTGGTCATATCCTGTCAGACTTAGCAAATCATTAAAAAGCTTTAAGCTTTATTGACTCATAAAAAAAGCCTTAATGCTTTACCTCGTTTTTGAACATTGTCTTCATCACGAGAATGGGTTGAGTTAGTTGACAATGTTGAACCCTCATTCATAACTTTGTTTGATCTCTTTGAACCTAGCTCTTGGGATCTCCAGTCTGCTAGGTAGAGTTACCGCCATGATGACTTGTCCTAGGCCTTTAACCCCATTCCCTTTGATGATCTTTCAACTGCCTCTCTAGATAGGCCTTTTTTAAGTGGATCCGACACGTTATCTCTTGACTTTACGTAGACAATTGTGATAACACCACTAGAGATTAGTTGTCTAACGGTATTGTATCTCTGTCGGATATGACGAGATTTTCCGTTATACATAACGCTCCCTGCCCTACCTATTGCCGCTTGACTATCACAATGTATATATATAGGTGCCAAAGGTTGGCCCAAAATGGAATATCTTTCAAGAAATTCCGGAGCCATTCAGCTTCCTCACCGGCCTTATCTAAAGCTATGAATTCAGATTCCATTGTAGAACGGGCGATGCACGTTTGTTTGGATGATTTTCAAGATACTGCTCCACCCCCAATTGTGAAAACATATCCACTCCGGTGATCCAATTTGCATCACTATATCCCTCGATCACGGAAGGATATTTGTTATAATGCAAAGCATAATTTTGGGTATGTTTCAGATATCCCAAAACTCGTTTCATTGCCATCCAATGTATTTGATTTGGGTTACTTGTAAACCGACTCAGTTTGCTAATAGCATATGCTATATCTGGCCGCGTACAATTCATGATATACATCAAACTTCCCAATACTCTTGCATAGTTCAGTTGTGAGTCACTTTCACCTTCATTCTTTTGAAGTGCATAACTCACGTCAATTGGAGTCTTGACAATTTTGAAATCCAAATACTTGAACTTATCAAGTACCTTTTCAATGTAGTGAGACTGTGATAATGCTAGACCTTGTGAAGTCTTGCGAATTCTGATTCCTAAGATCACATCAGCAACTCCTAAGTCTTTCATGTCGAATTTGCTAGCCAACATGCGCTTTGTAGCATTTATATCTGCCATACTTTTGCTTATTATCAACATGTCATCAACATATAAACAAACAATGACTTCATGACCTGGAGTATTTTTAATGTAAACACATTTGTCACACTCGTTGATTTTAAATCCATTTGCCAACATTGTTTGGTCAAATTTTGCATGCCATTGTTTGGGTGCTTGTTTAAGTCCATAAAGCGACTTAATAAGTTTGCACACTTTCTTTTCTTTACCAGGAACCACAAAACCCTCAAGTTGTTCCATGTAAATCTCTTCCTCCAATTCTCCATTTAGGAAAGCTGTTTTAACATCCATTTGATGGATTTCAAGACCATACACGGCCGCTGGTGCCACTAACACCCTAATAGATGTTATCCTTGTTACAGGCGAGTAAGTGTCAAAGTAATCAAGGCCTTCCTTTTGTCTATAACCATTGACAACAAGTCTTGCCTTATATTTGTCAATAGAGCTTTAATTTTCCGTTTAAAGATCCATTTCGAACCTAAAGGCTTATTTCCTGGAGGAAGATCAACCAATTCCCATGTATAGTTATCCAAAATTGATTGAATCTCACTATTGACTGCCTCTTTCCAAAATGCTGAATCAGAAGACAATATAGCTGCTTTAAAAGTTTGAGGCTCATTTTCAAGCAAGAATGTCACAAAATCTGGTCCAAAGGAAGTAGATGTTCTTTGACATTTGCTACGCCTTGGATCTTCTATATTTGGAGTATTTTCCTTTGGTTCTTCCCGAGGTCATTTAGGTCTTTCACTTAAGGACTCGCTTTCAGTTTTATACGGATAGATGCTTTCAAAGAATTCAACATTATTTGATTCCATTACCGTATTAACATGTATCTCGGGATTATCAGATTTATGAACCAAAAACCGTCATGCTTTACTGTTTGTAGCATATCCAATGAAAACGCAATCTACTGTTTTGGGTCCGATTTTAACCCTTTTAGGTAAAAGAACTTGTACCTTTGCTAGACACCCCACACTTTGAAATATTTCAAGTTGGGTTTTCTTCCTTTCTATTTTTCATATGGAATAGAATGCGTTTTGCTGTGGGGTACTTTGTTGAGTGTTCGGTTAGCTGTAAGGAGAGTTTCCCCCCACAAACTCTGCAGTAATCCGGAACTTATTAATAAAGAATTCATCATTTCCTTTAATGTCCGATTTTTCCTTTCCGCAATTCCGTTGGATTGAGGTGTGTAAGGTGCAGTAGTTTGATGGATAATTTCATATTCCGAACATATTTTCGCAAACGAAGATTCATATTCTCCACCTCTATCACTTCTAATCATTTTGATCTTTTTATTCAATTGATTTTCTACCTCATTCTTGTATTGCTTAAATGCTTCAATTGCTTCATCCTTACTATTAAGCAAATAAACATAACAATATCTAGTGCAATCGTCAATAAAAGTAATAAAGTACTTTTTTCCACCTCGAGATGGTGTCGACTTCATATCGCAAATGTCAGTATGAATTAAGTCTAAAGGATTTGAATTCCTTTCAACATACTTATAAGGATGTTTTACAAACTTAGATTCAACACATATTTGACATTTTGATTCATTACACTCGAATTTAGGCAATACTTCTAAATTAATTAACTTCCGCAAGGTTTATAATTGACATGTCCTAAACGAATATGCCATAAATCATTTGACTCCAATAAATAAGAAGAAGCTGAAATTTTATTCATAATGTCAACAACTATTACATTGAGTTTGAAAAGGCCCTCCGTGAGGTAGCCTTTTCCTACATACATTTCGTTCTTGCTTACAACAACTTTATCAGAAACAAATACACATTTGAATCCATTATTTACAAGTAAAGAAGTAGAAACTAAATTCTTCCTAATAGTAGGAACATGAAGAACGTTGTTGAGCGTTAACACCTTGCCGGAAGTCATCTTCAGGAATATCTTCCCATAACCTTCAATATTGGCTGTTGCATTATTTCCCATGGAAATTTCTTCTTCGGGACCAGCAGTAGAGTAAGTCGCAAATGCTTCTTTGACAGCACAAACATGTCGAGTGGCTCCAGAGTCAATCCACCACTCCTTCGGATTTCCAACTAAATTGCATTCCGAAAGCATTGCGCAAAGATCATCAATCTCATTATTCTTCTCCACTATGTTGGCTTGTCCCTTCTTCTTATCCTTTTTCGGGAGACGATAATCTGGACTTTTGTGACCGACTTTTCCACAATTGTAGCAGCTGCCCTTGAATTTCTTTTTGTTCTGCTCCTTAGTTTGTCCAGAAGACCTCTTCCTCTTCTTACTTTTTGGAGCAGTCTCTTCAACGATATTAGCTCCCATGATCGTTGAATTTCCACGAGA